GGAAGCCGCCTTGGCAGCAGACTCTGTTCTGCCGCCCTTATCTGCCTCCCAGTGACCCTCACTAGTGGTTTCCATCGCCCCAGGGGTGGGAGATCCTGGCAGTCCCGCCCCCTGACCCTTGGCCTGGCGCTCCTCACCGGCACACATTGGCGACTCCCCGGCCGCTGTCCGGATCCGCCCAGGCCCGGCTCAGCCCCGCCCCGCGGCGAGTTAAGAGCCCCCAAGTGCGGGGCGCTCCGGGCAGACTGCGCCCGTGGTTTGGCGGTCGTCATGGTGACCGCGCGAGTGGCCGCGGCCCTCCGCGCCATCCTCGCAGGCTGCAGACTGCGCGGCTCGCGGGGGACCGGGGGCTCCCGGAGGCTGAGCGGCAGCGCGCGGCGGCGGGCGGCGGGCGGCGTCAGCCCCGGGCGCCGGCTCAGCACGGCCTGGGCACCGGCTCAGCGTCCGCGGGAAGACCCTGAGGGCACAGAGGACAGCGCCCAGCCGCCAGCCGCCCAGGAGCCGTCAGGGACGCCACCTCGCGCTCCTTCTGTGCCGCTCGAAACTGCCGAGCCCCTGGCCGGCCGCTCGCTGGTCCAGCGGGACATCCAGGCCTTCCTGAGCCAGTGCGGGGCCAGCCCCGGAGAAGCGCGCCACTGGCTCACGCAGTTCCAGGCCCAGCACTACTCCTCCGACAAGCCCTTCGCTGTCATCGAGGTGAGCGGAGCGCGGCGTCGGCGGTGTCGCCGCGAGGAGGCGAGGGCTGCTCCACGACTCGGGGCTGCAGGACCGGGAAGGGGCACGCCGGGGTGGGCGCGGCCGCGCGCTCCTCGAAAGCCCCGCGCCCAGCCCGAGAAGCCTGGGATCCCAACGTGGCAGGCGTGATGCTCTGAAACAGCTCCGCTGCCCCCGGCTGTGGATGCTAGTTGGGGGTTCGGACCGAGACCTGAGAACCTGGACAGCAGCTGCCTGCGTTACCCCTCCCCCAAAGGCGTCCCAGAGTCCAAGGTCGCAGAGCGAGGAACACTGGTGTGAGATAAGGGGGTGGCAAGATCCGACTGGGCAAAGGGTGGAACGGGTGGCCAGCAGCGGGGCCGACAGCGCCACAGCAGGTTGTGGGGGCAGGTGGCTCAGCGTCAGCGTGACCCCCTCCACAACGCCCACTCTTTCCCAGGTGGATGAGGAGGTGCTCAAGTGCTCGCAGGCCGTATCCAGCCTGGCCTTTGCCCTGGCCTTCCTGCAGCGCATGGACATGAAGCCGCTAGTGGTGCTGGGGCTGCCAGCCCCCACGGCGCCTTCGGGGTGTCTCTCCTTCTGGGAGGCCAAGGCTCAGCTAGCCCAGAGCTGCAAGGCGCTGGCGGACGCGCTGCGGCACAACGCGGCCACCGCCGTGCCTTTCTTCGGCGGCGGGTCGGTGCTGAGCGCCGCTGAGCCCGCTCCCCATGCCAGGTGAGTGCGGCCCTGACCGCCCCGGCGGGCCTGCGGGGGTGGAGGGCCCTCTCGAGCACCGTGTCTGGCCCGCAGCTACGGCGGCGTGGTCTCGGTGGAGACCGACCTGCTGCAGTGGTGCCTGGAGTCCGGCAGCATCCCCCTCCTGTGCCCGATCGGGGAGACGGCCGCGCGCCGCTCCGTGCTCCTCGACTCGCTGGAGGTGACCGCGTCGCTGGCCAAGGCGCTGCAGCCCACCAAGGTCATCTTCGTCAACAACACGGGCGGCCTGCGCGACGCCACACAGAAGGTGCCCCCCGGCCCCCAGACCGAAGTCCTCCCCAACAGGGGACTCCGGGAGCAGGAGGGACAAAGGGGCCAGGGAGAAGGCAGCCCCAGGGGGCAGCGGCGCCGCCGGGAGTTCGCTGGGCCTTCGGGGGCCGACTGCGGGCCGGAGGCTCACGGCCTCGCTCCGGACGCAGGTCCTGAGTAACGTGAACCTGCCCGCCGACCTGGACCTAGTGATCAACAGCGAGTGGGTGAGCCACAAAGAACGGCAGCAGATGCGGCTCATCGTGGACGTGCTCAGCCGCCTGCCCCACCACTCCTCGGCCGCCATCACCGCCGCCAGCACGCTGCTGACCGAGCTCTTCAGCAACAAGGGTGAGGGCGGCGGGGAGAGCCGCGGCCACGCCCGCCGCAACGGGGACGGGAGGGAGATGGCCCCGACCCCGGGCGGCACTGGCGCCGGTGGGAGGAGGCGCTGTCGGCGGGGCGGGGCGGGGGCGTGGCCGGAGCAACAGAGTTTAGGGAGAGGGGCGGGACTAGCAAAGGAGGTGGGACTAGAGGCGATGGGCGGGATTGAAGGACTAACTGCAGACCAGCGAAGTCGTTTCCTTGTGGAGGTCTCTGAAGACTATCCCATTAGCCCCACTCGCGCACGCCGAGTGCCACACCGACCCGCTGCCCTCATCTCACGTCCAGGGTCCGGGACCCTGTTCAAGAATGCGGAGCGGATGCTGCGATTGCGCAGCCTGGACAGCCTGGACCAGGGCCGCCTGGTGACCCTGATCAACGCCAGCTTCGGCAAGAAGCTCAGGGAGGACTACCTGGCCTCGCTGCGCCCCCGGCTGCACTCCATCTACGTGTCTGAGGGGTGAGCCTGCAGACCCCACCGAGGACAGGGCCTCAGGGACTGATCCTGGCCAAGGCGGAGTCCCAGCCTGCCTCTCTCCCGCCGCGCCAGGTACAACGCAGCCGCCATCCTGACCACCGAGCCGGTCCTGGGTGGCACCCCGTACCTGGACAAATTCGTGGTGAGCTCCAGCCGCCAGGGCCAAGGCTCCGGCCAGATGCTGTGGGAGTGCCTGCGGCGGGACCTGCAGACGCTGTTCTGGCGCTCCCGGGTCACCAACCCCATCAATCCCTGGTAGGTCCCGCCCCTCAGGGCTCTGGGCTGGGCCCCTGCTGGGGTACTGCCTTGCCCAGGGAGAGGCCCTGCTCGGTGTTGCCGGTGCCATTCCCCAGGGGGAGCCCACACAAGGAGCCTGAGCTGTCCTCAGAGGTGGCCCCTTGACCCTGCTTTCCTGGAAGACAGGGCTCCACCCTGAGCGCATGCAGCCTGCTTCTCCCAGGCTCCACCTCAGCCCCCAGCGCCACGCTCCCAGTTCCAGGCCCACTGCACCTCCAGGGGGACACCCCTTCCTCGTCCCCCGCTGCCTGGCTCTGTGGAGACTAAGAAGGGAGCAAGAACCCTCCCTTCACTGCCCAGCACGGCAGTACGGAGAGAACGAGACACGGGCTCACTCTGGCCTTCAGCTGTGTGACCCTGCAAGAGAGCTGACTTCTCTGAGCCCGGCTGCTTCCCTGAGAGATCAGAACGGTAGATGCGCAGGCTCAGGCCGCTGCTGAGAGAGCAAACTGAGCTGCCAGCTCCCAGCTGGCAAGGAGCAGGTGGTCGGCCCTCCATAAAGGTTCTCTGAAGGAGGAGCCAGCGAGGAGCCAGCCCCGGCCCTGCTCAGAAAGCTTCCCCCCGGCCTTGCCCCACCCAGGTACTTCACACACAGCGACGGCAGCTTCTCCAACAAGCAGTGGATCTTCTTCTGGTTCGGCCTGGCCGACATCCGGGACTCCTATGAGCTGGTCAACCACGCCAAGGGGCTGCCAGACTCCTTCTGCAAGCCAGCTTCAGACCCAGGCAGCTGACCCTCACACTGACCCAGCAAGGCCCTGGCACAGCCAGGGTGGACCAAAAGCCACGCCTGCTGCAGGCGACCCAGGCAGCCCCAGGCTGGGCGGAGCCGACGGCCTAGAGATCTGCAGAGGAAGCCCCAGCCCCACCCTGCCCAGAGCAGTGCAGTCAGACAAGCACAGGAAGGAGGGGCCGGCCCAAGAGACACGTGCTCCAAAGCTGCGAGCCTTGGGCTTGGGGTGTGCGCTCGCCTTGGAGGGCTCTGCTCAGGGCTGACCGGAGGGCGGCCAATTTCTCTGACTTCTGTGCTGTTTGAGGCTCCCTTGCCAAGAATACCACCCCTGCCTGCCTGCTCCAGTCACTCATTTTCATCCCTTTGGGGTCCTGCGATTTTCAGGAGGCCTTGATTAAAGCACACACACTTGTCTGAGAGTCAGCTCACACTGGGAAGGGAATCAGCAGTGACCCTAACGGGAGCCAGACCTTGAGAACAGAGAACCGATGGCCTCCCGGAGGGAGTCGAGGCACTCATCAGACAGGAGAGCCCCAGGAGGGACACCGCCACTGTCTCCCTCGCCTGGGTGTCGCAGCCCAGGACAGGCTCCCCTACCCCTAGTGAGGGAAACCCTACAATCCACAGACCAGGCCGACAGCAGCCCCAGCCCCCCAACCCGTGAGGGCCTCCACCCGCAGTCCCCTTTCCAGGCTGGGGTCAACGCCAAGCCCACACAGCAGTGGCTCATCTGTTACCTACAAGAGCCCAGAGAAGCCACAACGGGGTGCTCTGGCTTTGAAAGCCCAGGCTTGGACATTTTCCCCTGGCCCCACTGGAGGCTGCATCCAGTCTGGGCAGGACCAGCACGGCCCAGACAGGCTGGAGTCCAAAGCCGAGAGATTCCATTCGATATTTGTTGACGATGTGCTAGGCGCCTTACTGGTCTGAAGGCACTTAAGACAAGGAGGGAGCCAGTCAACGGTGAGACCGTCATGGTACACAAGGCCCAGGGGCAGCCTCTGTCCTCCCGCAGGAGATGGGTGGTGTCAAGTGGACGCCTGGGCTTGGACCCCAGACAACAGACACACTTGGCTCTGCGCTGAACACCGTCAGTTCTCTTCCTATAGCTGCCCTCACAAGAGATTTCCTCCAAGGAGCTGGCAGCAGGCTGGGGAGGAAGAGACAAGCCACAAGCAGGACTGAGGAGGGAAATCAAATGCACATTCCACAGTCAGGGTCTTGAGAGTCTTGAAAAGAGGGCCAGAGGGCCGGGGGACCCTCACAGCTGGGGAAAGGTCACGGGAGGGCCAAGGCGGGGCCAGGCCAGACCCAGCCTCTCAGGAGACCCGAGATCAGTCGCCACCCTCAGCAGAGCGCCCTGCGGGCAAAGCAGCAGCAAAGCCAATGTCTACATAAAACGTTTATTTTTGGAGGACTGCCTGGTCTGGTGTTTGGGAAGGCACTCCACCCCTACCAGGCCAACCTCAGAACTGCAAACAGAGACAGCAGGTGCGGGGCTGGCAGGCTGCGGCCTGCTCCACCCTGCAGACCCCAGCTCAGAGGGCTGCTGCTGTCTGGCCCTGGCATACCCTGAGAACCCACGTGACTTCTGTGGCACCAGCCCCTCTGCTCTCTCGGGCCTGACGCGTGGCTGTCAGCACACTCACTCGACTCTCGGCGTCTGGAAAGCATGGCAGAGCTGGGGAGCACCTGCCAGGCTCATGAAGCAGTCTCACATTCGCTCATTTCGGATCTCTCGCTTCCGGCCTCTCTCCCACTCTCAGGAGAGGCGGCCCCAGCCCTGCTTCACCCCTTCCCAGGGCCTGGAGGCCAGGGAGCAGTGGCCTCAGCTCTCCTAACAAACAGGAAAACACCTGCCACTGCCACCCTCCCTGGGGCCAAGCCCAGGGGTCTGGGGAAGAGACCTTCCTCCTCGGAACAATGCAAAAAGAAAGGGGGCGGGGGAGACAAAGGATCCAACAAACCGACCAAAAAGCATAAATAAACAGCAACGGGGCCAGCAAGGAGGAAGGCAGGCAGCCCTCGCCCTCGGTGGCTCCCAGGGGACTCAGCCGTCAGTGGCCAGGATGACAGCAGCCCCGAAGATGCCCACACTCTCTCCCAGGAGCTTCATCTGGTTCCAGAACTCAACGCGCCGCGTGTGGTGCCAGTAGGCGACGTTGCCATCAATGAGCAGCATGACCGGCGGCAGCAGGACGGCCAGGATCTGGGCGGCCAGGGTGACGTAGTAGCCTGACAGGAAGGCCAGGGCCAGGACGCCGTACAGCACGAAGAAGAGCTGGATCATGAGCTCCCCTCCCGGGAGGTGGTTCAGGTAGGCCAGCCGGTCCTCCTTGCTGTGCTGCAGCGAGTAGGCCTGCAGAAACACCGGCCCCTGAGACCCCTCGGGAGGGCCTGGGGCGCCCACTGACTACAGAGCCCAGGGGGCTAGGGCCTGGGCCTCCACGCCTCGCCCTGGGGGTTCTGATGGGAGGAAGTGCATTTCCACAGCCAGCCTGGGGCTCCCACCTCTGAACAGACCATGGGAGCCCACTGAGACCGCAGAGGACGTGGCACCCGGGAGCCAGGACGAGGCCATCTCCATCCGCCTTGGCTTCCCTAGTACAAGGGCACTTGGGATGGAACTTCTTCCACACCTGGGACAGTAACTTTGGAAGAAGGAACGCTCACGAGATTCTGGGCACCTGCAGGGCCCCAGAGGCTGGCCAGGGCAATCCCCAGGGGCCAGGCCATCTGGAGCGGCAGGCAAGGCCTTGTTCTGCCAGGCCTGGGCTCACAGGCCACCTCCACCCGACAGCCGCCCAGCCTACCACGCAGATGAGGTAGATGCCCAGGAACACCTGGCCGGTGGACTGCAGGGAGCGGCTGCGGGGTTTCCGGCGGTACAGCTCCCCGGCGCCGCTGGCCAGCACGAGAAAGCCGCCGATGATGGCAACTGTGCGAGAGTACATACGGACCTAGGTCGGAGCAAGGGGACCCCAGTCAGGGGCTGCGGCCGCCACGTCTCCCCTGGCTGCCCTACACATCCCTCTCCACCTGACCAGCCCTCTTTGACCATTTCCAAGGCATGGCACATGGGTACTGAAGAGACATAATTGTTTGTTGAGTTTTTGGTTTTTGCTTTTACAGAAGTGGAAGCTGAGGCCGGGGGTGGGGGTTAAGAAAATTGTCCATGGCCCTAACAGAAAGTGGCAGAACCAGACGCCGTGCAATGCCCCGTTTCCCACGCCCAGGTCTGCAGACCCAAACACCTCTATACAGCACAGCGCCTTCTCTGAAAACACAACACTGCCCTCTCCATCTCGGAGCTGCCTGCGCATCTGCCTCCCCTCCTGGACTGGACGGTCCCGTCCCCAGGGCCACTGTCCAGCCAGCAGTGCCTGCACTTACAGGCTCAGGTGGCGCACTGAGATTATATCTCCTAAAATACGACGGTTGGCTCGGGTACTCACCGAGGTCCCTTTTGCCCTGTAAGTCTGGGATGACTAACGCCATGGTTTAAAGGATTCTGGCCCCCACCGATCTGCTAACGGTGGTGTGGCTTTGGCAAAGTCTGCTCCCCTCTCCACACTCGGAAGGAGAGGCTGGTGTGGTCGCTGAGGTCCTTCCATTTCTGTCTGTGGGTCCCGCCTGCCAGGCTGCACCCCGCAATGCCCCCCACCCCACTCCGGGGCCGAGGCGCTCACCTTCAGCCAGTCCCCGTAGTGGACGTAGCCCCCGAGGTAGGCGGCGTAGGTGCTAACGGCCAGCTGCAGTGCCGCCCCCAGGGCGAACCAGCGCCGCTTCACCCCGAAGGACATGAAGCTGGCACACAGCACGGCCGCCCCCATGTCGAAGTACAGGTAGGGCACGGGGATGTCTGGCTTCCTGCGGGGCGGCAGTAGGAAAGCAAGAGGGCAAAGTGACCGGGGGCTGAGGGCCGTGAGACCCCTTGAGTACCGGCACGCTCCTCCGCTACCCCAAACTGGAGTCCCCGCTCATGGCCAGGACCGCCGCATCAGACATGGCCCGGTGGCCGCACCGGAGTCCCACCCCCCCAGCCCCTCGTCAAGTCCGAGGGCCCAGTTCCTCGCAGTCCAACTTCTGGGCACCAACTTCTTCCCCACATCACCCCCGCTCCCGGGACGGGCCGTCCCGCCCCCACCGCGTCCGGCGGCTGCGTGGGCCGGCTCACCGGCGCGCCTCGGCCCTCTCGGCGTACAGCATGAGCTGGCTGAAGCAGCCCCAGAAGGGGCAGCGTGTGAGCAGCACCGAACCCAACTGCATGATCAGCTGCAGCATCCAGCGTCTCGAACCTATCTTCGACGCCATCTTGAGAAAGGGCAGTCCGTCGCGGCCTCATTCCCGTCAGGAGGCAAGCGCGGGGCTGAGACACGCAACTTCCGGGTCCCTCGTTCTTTCCCTTCCGTCCGGAAGCAGTGCTCTTTCTGTATAGTTCTGAGAGGAGTGGAACAATGTCCTTGCTGCGCTCAGCGTTTCGCTCTTCTGGTGGGGAGTTCAGGGCCCCTCTTTTTGTTGCGAAGTAGAAAACTAGACCAGAGGAACAGCGGGGTCAGGATATCACACGTCTTAGATTGTAGCCTGTGTGGAAGCAGACTTGTCTTTGAATTCAGCTGGACCTGAACTCTGAACTCCAGCCCTGTGATTTTGGACCTATGGGATGTAAGGACATCTAACAGCAGAGTGGTTGTGAAGTTCGCTTTATTTATTTATCCGTTTTTATTTGAAAAAGAGATCTTCCTTCCTCTAGTTCTCCTCCTCTCACCCCCAAATACCTGCAAAGCCCTGGCCGTACCGGGCCAAAACCAGGAGCCCAGAGCTCCACCCGGGACCCCCAGACAGGTGGCAGGGACCCAGGTACTTGAGTGTCAGCTGCCGCTTCCTGGGCTGTGCACTAGGGAGCTGGAATTGGAACGGGTGCCAGGCCTGTCGCAGTGCGTGCTGTGCCACACATGGGTGTGACGTTCACTGCTCACAAGCACCCCAGGGGTTCAATAAATAGTGCAAACACTCCAGAGAAACGTGCTGCAAGACCCGGCTCCTGACGCAATCAGTTTGGCCTTGGTCTGTCTCGTCTCCTGAGAGCAGGATGCATGGGACACAGCATCCCGGTCCATTTTCAACTCTGGTGCTGCCACTCCAGACTCAAGCTATCATCTTTAAAAAGAGAGAATATATATTTTATTTGAAAGCTAGAGGGCTGGCATTGTGGCATAGTGGATTGAGCCATCACCTGCAACGGTGGCATCTCCTATGAGCACTGGTTTGAGTCCCGGCCGCTCCACTTCAGATCCAGCTCTCTGCTAATGCACCTGGGAAGGCAGCAGAAGATGGCCCAAGTGCTTGGGCCTCTGCCACTCACGTGGGACATCTGGATGGAGTTCCTGGCTCCTGGCTTCAACCTAGCCCAGCTTTGACTATTGCAACCATCTGGAGAGTGAACTAGCAAGTGGAAATTCACTCTCTTGGTCTCTGTCTCTCCCTCTATCTTTCTGTAAATCTGCCTTTCAAATAAATAAATCTTTTTTTTAAAAATCAAAAGGTAGACAGAGATCTTGCAACCTCTGGTTCACTCCCCAGATGTCTGCAATGGCCGGGGCTGGCCCACTCAGTCTCCTTGAGCTGAAACTTGCCGTTTCCTAGGGTGCACATGGGTGGAAAGCTGGACTTGGACGTGGAGCTGGGACTCGAACCCAGGCCCTTTGCCATGTGACATCCCATCAATCACTGCACCAAAGCCCACCCTTGCCTGATCATTTGTTGATCTCCACTTCCTGTTTGGTCTCCACTAGTCTGTTCCTATTGTACATTCTCTGTTCTCCTACACTTCCTGTGAATCGCGCCACACAGTGGCAATTTTGCATTTCTATCTATCTATTTATTTATTTGAAAGACAGAGTTACAGAGAGAGGTAGAGACAGATAGAGAGGTCTTCTATCCACTGGTTCACTCCAAAATGGCTGCAGCTGAGCTGATCTGGAGCCAGGGGCCAGGAGCTTCCTCTGGGTCCCCAATGTGGGTACAGGGCCCAAGGACTCGGGCCTCCTCTGCTGCTTTCCCAGGCACATTAGCAGGGAGCTGGATCAGAAGTGGAGCAGCCGGGACTCAGACCAGGCACTGCAGGCCGGAGCTTTAATTCACTGCACCGCAGAGCAGGCCCCTTGTCTCTCTTATTAATGACCAGGGCCCCCCCACTGGGTTGTGAGTGCCAAGAAGCCAAGCATGGTATCTGGCTTATTATTTATATCTTCAGGGCCTAGTATACAGGATGTACTTAGGAAATTTATGTTACATAAATAAACGGGCAAAAGGTATTGTCGGGCCAGCGCTATGGCATGGTGGGTAAAGCCACCGCCTGCAGTGCTGGCATCCCATATAGGCGCCAGTTCAAGTCCTGGCTGCTCCACTTCTGATCCAGCTCTCTGCTGTGGCCTGGGAAAGCAGTGGAAGATGGCCCAAGTGCTTGGGCCCCTGCACCCGCGTGGGAGACCTGGAAGACGCTCCTGGTCCCTGGCTTCGGATTGGCCCAGCTCTGGTGCTGTGGCCAACTGGGGAGTGAGCCAGCGGATGGAAGACCTCTCTCTACTTCTCTGTAACTCTCTGCCTTTCAAATAAATATTTTTTAAAGCTATTGTCTCTATGTCTGGTTCATGGTAGGTGCTCAGTTAATACTTCTTTTTTTTTAAGATATTTATTTTTATTTATTGGAGTTAGATAGAGAGAAAGGTCTTCCTACCATTGATTCACCCCCAAGTGGCCGCCATGGCCGGAGCTACGCCGATCCGAAGCCAGGAGCCAGGTGCTTCTCCTGGTCTCCCATGCGGGTGCAGGGCCCAAGTACTCGGGCCATGCTCCACTGCCCTCCCGGGCCACAGCAGAGAGCTGGACTGGAAGAGAAGCAACCGGAACTAGAACCGGTGCCCATATGGGATGCCGATGCTGCAGGCAGAGGATTAACCCAGTGAGCCATGGTGCCGGCCCCAGTTAATACTTCTTGAGCAAATAAATGGGCCAAAGTTCTGGGCACTCTAGAGGCTGCTTCCCCGAAGCTGCCCCCACCTTCCTCCTGCACACACAAGACTTCTTCCAGTACTGAAGTTACAACCCTACAAGACCCTCCGACTCGTCATTAGTTCAGAAGGTTGGTTTCCAATCCCCGGGAAGTGGCTCATGCCCAGACTGCATTCCTCACGGGCACTCAGCCGTGACAGCTGGACACTAAAACCTGTTGTGAGAGCGTCACGTGTTCGTGCGGAAACCACAGACGGCACTCTTGCAGCGTAGGCTGGGGTGGGAGGACGTCCAGGCCAGTGGAGCAGGCAAAGGGCCGGGTTAGAGGTCCTGCCTGCCCCCGACAGCAGTGTTTCTTCTCCATGATACAGCCCCTTAGCACAGAATCAACTTTCCACTTGGTCTTATTTTGCATCTCCTCACCCAGCCCTGGTTCAAATGGACAAGATGCACAGCCCTAGGAGCTGAAGGGCCAGAGCTGGAGCCGAGTCTGTAACAGTGCAAGGCGCACCCCCACCCCCGGCCATCCCCACACAGCGCCCACCCTCGCGCTGCAGCAAGCAGTTTCCAAACAGGTCCGCAGCAGCAGAGGCCGGGACGTGTACGAGGACAGGGAGGGAGCTCTCCTGGTCTCCCCGGCTCCTGAGTCCCTCTCTGCCTTTTACCTCTCTTCCCCTGAGTGGCTGTGAGAGGGTCTAGAGCTGGGGCAGACGCTGGCCCGGTGGACAGGCGGTGGCCCAGGCCCTGAGAAAAGCACACCCCTTGCTCCTTCCCTCCCAGCCCCCACCCACACACAACTGCAGCTCCCTTGGCAGCGACCCTCACCTCCCTCTAGGGGGCGCCCCAGTTCCCCAGCTCCTCCTGGCCAATCTGGCCAAAACCACAGCCATGGCCCCAGTTACAGCATGGCGCCCAGGATGCCCGGCAGTGACCTCAGGCAGGCAGAGCCAGGCTCCCACGCGGCTCAGCAGTGCCCGATAGCCAAGCCATCAAGTCGCCCGTCACATGGAAGCACCACACAGAAGCTTCCGGAAAGCTGCGGGTCAGGCACACACCCAGGAGCTGCTGGCCAGCAGCTGTGTGCCCACCACCACCTGGAGCCTGAGGTGGTGCAGTTGGCTGCCCCCAGGAAAGGGGGACCCAGTGCCCACAGGGTCACAAACCCATGGGTGTTGTTCCCAGCCAGGGTGGCATCCTTGACCAGCGCCACAGATCCCACCAGCAAGAGCCCAAGCCCACCTGTGTCCCAGCTCAGCAAGCTGGAGGTGGCGCCCCAGGCTGCAGGGGTCAGAGCAGTGAGGCCACGAGAGGTGCAGGTCGAGCTGAGCCAGGGTGGCAGAGAAGTCCCCGGGGGCGGGCAGGCCAGCTGGCTAAGGCTGAGGCCCAGCTGCTGCAGGCTCAGCTCTGTGAACCCCACCCCCCAGCCAGATCCCACCGGATGTGGTCAAAGAGCAGCAGCAGCTGTCCCCAGAAGTCCTGGGAGGAAGCGGCAGGTGGCCAAGGTGACCACGGCTCAGCTCCAGGAGCCAGACTCCACAGGGAGCCTGGGAGGGAGGCTGAGCAGGCAGAGGGCCCCACAGTCCATGACACTGCCCACAGCTGGACAGGCGCACAGAGCTGGGCATGCTGTCACGATTCCCAAGAAGGGCCTTGCCTCTGCCATGGCCGCGGCCTCCGTGAGCAGAGCCGCCACCAGGCCTGTCCTTGCCCCTCACAGGGCCAGGGTGATGAGGCCCGTGTCAGGCACTCATAGCCGCTGAGACCTCGGTGCCTGGTTCCCCGACCCCAACGCTGGGGAAGTGGGCGCCAGGAAAGACAAGCACACGCCGTGCAGCCCCCTCTGTCCCCCAGGACTTTACCTGTTACCCAGGCGTCTGCCCCGGCCCCGGCCCAGTCCCCATCCTGTCACTCCTCCATCCCTTCCTCCTACCAGGGTGAAAAGCAGTCAGCTTCAGGCCTCTGAACCTCTCCGCGGGCCCCCCGAGCAACCCTGCCTCCCCCTGCCCTCACACAGCCACATTTGCAAAGAGCCTCACTCAGACCCTGGCTCAGTCTGCTCCCCGGCCCCAGGTCTCGGGCCAGCGAAGCCCAGCACACTCACCTGTGATCCTGGTCATGCCCCCGGACGCAGCCCAGCCCAGGACTGACAGTGACAAGCACCAGGGCTCCAGTTTCCTGCCGCCTGGGCCCAGCTCTCGACGTGGGGGCGCAGGAAGGGGTGTAGAAAGCCTTGTGGGAGCACACCCCCAGCCCCCATCCTCTTGCTCGTGGAGATCCACGGCTTGCTCTCACCACGGTGGCAGCTTGAGGCTGCGGGGGCTTCCTCAGGTAGGGAGGGGGC